TTATTTTGAAACAGAGTCTCACTAAGTTGCTGATTTGAGATCTTCCTGCCTCAGCTTCCCAGTGTGCTGGAAATATAGGTCTGTGCTGCTATACTGGGCTTTTTTCTTGACCTCACAGAGTCATATTTCCTCTGTACAGGCTATTCCCTTCCTAGAATATGGGTTCCTTACATCTTTAGTCTCCTTCTCCCCCTTCAAGCCCTGTAACATTCTCACAGGGCATTTCTCACTTTTCCCCCTCTATATTGCCCCTTCTGATCACTATCATATTAGCCTGCTTTATTTCCTTCGTGGTGGGTTCCCCAAAATGATTTTGTTAATTTACTCCAAATCTGTCACATTTTATGTTTAGCACAAGGTTGGGATGACCCCTTGATATGGGTTTGGATAGAGTCCAACCTTGCTTTCACGGCTGGGGGGAGCTGCTGGGAGCGAAGTGTTAAGGCAGTGAGGAGGGGTATTTGTGGGCAGGAGTAGGCAGGAGTGAGAGGTGAGAAAGAGTCTGGGGTGATTTCCTTACCTGATACGGTGATTCAGTCTCAGTAATGGGCTGCTTCCGGGTCACTGGGGTGGGGGTGGGGAAGAAAGGGTGCAAAGATGGACAGGGCCATGAATTTTTTGTGTGTGTTTGGTGGTATTGGAGATTGAACTCAAGGCCTTCATACTGAGCTACATCCCCAGGTCTTCTAAATATTAAGACAGGGTCTCACTAAATCGCTTAGTTGTTCCAGCTGGGCTTGAATTTGGGATTCTCTTGCCTCAGCCGGAGTGCTTGGACATAGGTGTGCGCCACCTATGAAGCCAGCCCCGCCCTTGCCATCCCCATGGATGTCTGTGATGGGGGGTTACCCTGAGCCCCCATTAGGTCATTCCTCAGTGTCCCAGGCCAGCTCCACTTACCCTGGGAAGTCTTTCGTCCCCGAGGGACCAGGCGGCCTAGAGAGTACACAGCCAGGGCGATGAGCAGGGTCAGCACCAGGTCGCCCAGCACGATCCCGGCCAGCACGCCGGGGCTTATGGGGGAGCAGTTGCATCCTGCGAATGCAGCACAGGTGCCGGGGAGGTTGGTATGAGTCGGGCATCGGGCATGGACGTCGGCAGGAGGAGGTGTGGAAAGGCTGGGGAAGGGACAGGATGGGGAGGGTGGGAGGTAGAAAGAGGGACTGGAGGGTCTAGCCTTACCACTCTGAGCCTGGACAGGACTGAGACCTGGGAAAGCAAAAAGAGGTAAACTGAAGCATGGGGCAATGACTGAGTGGAGGTAGGATAAAGGCTTGAAAAGGTGGAGAGCAGCCTCTGGTGGGACCCGGCGCACTGGTATCAAGGCTGTCGGACATGCGTGGCTTCCACACCCGCCTGGTCTGTTGCGACACCCTCGTATGTCCCCTCCTTCGCTTGTACCAGGGGCCATATCTTGGGATCTCTGGCTCAAGGAGAGATGGACAGGTTTTGGGGGACCACCTCCCCCCAGCCCTCCCCTTGAGGTTTCTCTTCCTGCACAGCTCCGTGCCCTGCCCCTGACTGAGCTTGGGGAATCGGGAGACGGCCTCAGAAGCCCCCGACTCACCAGCCACAGTCAGAAGGAGAGGAAGGAGCAGAAGCCGCCAGGAGGGTTCCAGGCCCCCCATGATATCGTGACACTGCCGGACGGTCCAGGGGCCAGTGGATGTGGTGTGGCGTCCAAGCAAGTGAAGGAGGAAGTCTGAGGTGGGTGGTGGCAGGAGGAGGAGGGGACACTGGGGAAGGAGGAGGGACAGACAAACAGAGAGAGAATCAGGCGCAAGGGCCAAGCCGCTGTCCCTGACGGCTGAATGCAAAGGACAAACGGGTGCGGGCATCCACTCCTGACCTCCATCCCCAATCAAGGATCAGACATCATTGTAACAAGAGGGCCGGTAACAAGAGGGCCGGTGGCTGCCTCTTCCTCCCAGTCACGCGTGGTCTCTGGGCCTCAGTTTCCTCATCTGTGAGATAGAGCTCTTCAAAAAAGGGAAGGGACCGAAAGAGGGAGGGAGAGGGGAGGGAACGAAAAAAAGATTTAAGATGTGTTATGTACATGTACCCATGCCCCATGGCGCATGAAATCATTAAGTACTAATAAATTTTTTTTTTAATTGGGACAAAAACTGTATGTATTTGGTAGGTTTCTTGTGGGGATTATATGAGTTTTCATACTTGAAAGAGGGCCTTGTCAGATTTTTATAAGTATCAGCTAAAATTATGACAATTATTTGATAATCAGACCCTTGTGGTTTTTGTAGGATATTGAGAGAGAGAGCCACCAGCATGTGAGCACGAACGCTGTGCAGACTCTGTCATAAATGTTAAATCAGTTAATCCCCAGACCTTCTTCTGTGGTAGATTTCTTATCTCCACTCCACAGAGAGGCACGGAAAGATACTTGCCCAAAAGGTCACAAAGCAAATAAAGGGGGAAATAAAGCCCAGGACCCAAACAGAGAAAGAGAGAAAGAAAAAGGGGAGGGGAGGGGCAACTGAAGCAGAGCAGATAAGAGGGTGTGAATTAGTGTCACAGACGGCCTTGGGCTTGAGGCGAGGCAGGTGGGGACAACACGGTGACCACCGGGCCGAGCTGGGCCACCCTGGCCAATGAGGAAGTGGTTGGGAGCGAGGACTGATGGGGCCACCCAGACAGAGACAGGGACTTCTAGCCCCCCAAGGGAGCCCAGGCTGAGGCTGGAGAAGGAGGAACCTGAGGTTAGGGTGTGGGGGATGACAGCTGCGGAAGGCCTCTCCCCCATCCACAGGTCACACCCTGGTACTCCCAGCCTGGGCTCCGGACAGAAAGGGGAAGCTGGGTGCTGGTCACGGGGCAGACGCTGGGTGCCAGTAGGGGGAGGGAGGGGCCTGGAGGCCGCAAGAGGCTCAGGCTGCTCATGGCCACCACTGCCCAGGCCTGGCAGAGCCCTGACAGTCCGTGGAACCCATTAGGGCCTGGACGAAGCACGGAGGCTCAGACCCGCGGCCTCCTGGGCACAGCAGGACTCTCAAGGCAGCCAGAGCAGAATGAGCGAGGGGCAGTCAGAAGCCATGGAGGCCCTGACCCGGCTTGGGTGGTCACAGGCTCCCTCTAGGTATGGGTCGGGGGATAAGGCCCCCACTTTGGGGGAAGGAAGAAGATGAAATGGAAGGCATCCCGCCGACTAAGCTGTGCCCAAGATGGGTCCAGGCTGCGGGAAGCTGGGCTGAGGGCCTCACCCAAAACCTGCAAAGCTGCCCAATCTCTCCTGGCAGCAAGCCAGGACTGGGGAAGGTCAAAGCTGACTGTCCCAGAAACCAGCCTGTGCACCGTGCCTGTGGCTAGCTGGCCTCTGTGGAAACAGCTTGTCCTCCCCTCAAAAGCCAGAAGAAGCATTTGAAAACTCAGACAAATACGGCTGAGGTGTAGCTCAGTGGCTGAGCACCTCATCATGTGAGCGAGTCCCTGGGCTTCACCTCCTCGGGCAACAAAGTCAGACAACTTAATCTTTTAAGTGGCCGAAAGACACTGGAACAGAGACTTCACAAAAGACTCACAAATGTTCAGCAATAAGTGTGTGGAACAGTGTTCGGTATCATTACTCATTAGGGAAATACAAATGAAAACCACAGTGAAATACCACTGCACACCCACTAGAATGACTAAAATTAAGAAGACTGATCCCCTCAAGAGTCAGCAGAGATGTGGAGCAGTGGGAATCTCACAGGCTGCTGGTGGAAATGCGAAACAGAACAACCACTTTGGAAGATAGTCTGGTGGTTTCCTGTACAGTTAAGCACTCACCTACCCAGAAACGCAGCAGTTCTGCTGCTAGTTATTCACCTAAGTTAATACAAGCACATGTTTACATCAGGGTGTGCATATGTTTACATCAAGAGGCTCTGCAAGATCTCATCACACCCCTGCCTCTCTTCTTCCCACCCACCCCTTTCTCCCTCACACTAGTCACTGGCTCACTGAAGAGACTGGCCTCCGAGCAGCTCCTTGAATGAGTCAAATTCAGCTTTGCCTCAGGACCTTTACACTTGCCACTTTCCTTCTGCTATGGTTTGAATGTCTCCACCAAAACTCACATTACTATTACAGCAGTGTGAAGCAATGGGACCTTTAGTGTCAGATGAGGACGAGTGTGGTATCACAGGCCTGTAATTCCAGCACTCCAGGAAGCTGAGGCAAATAAATAGATCACAAGCGTGAGCTCAACCTCTGCAATTTAGTGGCTTAGTGAGTCCCTGTCTAAAAGTACAAAGTCAGAAGGGCTGAGCATATAGTTCAGTGCAAAGGCCCTGGGCTCAATCCCCAGGGCCCCCAACACACAAACACACACACACACACACACACACACACACACACAAGAGAGGATGAGGTCACCTCATGCAGACATTAACACTTTCTCAAGGGAGTGAGTCTCTAATGAAAAGGGTGAATCCATCCGATGCCCCCAGCTCTCCTGCGATGTCTTGCCCTCTGTCTTGTGTAACTCCGCACAGAAGCCCTTGCCAAATGCTGGCACAGTGCACTCAGACTTCCCGGCCTCCAGAACTGTGAGCCAAATAAACTCCTGTTGTTGACAAATTACCTGTCTGCGGTTTTCTGCTTCAGAGGCAGAGAATGGACCCAGCCATGCCTGCCCTTGATTCTTTTCCCTAAGCATCCATGTAACTGGCATTTTTATAAAATTTCGCATCCTCTAAGTCTCAGCCCATGTATCCTACTATCCCCAAGGCTGTCCTGACACCACTGCTAAAGTCCTCCCCCCAACACACACACAAACACACACACACACACACACACACACACAGCAGTTTCTTTTTCCCCCTGGTATTTGTCATACCTGAAATTCTCAGATCTGTGTGTTCCTCATTTTCACTGCCTGTCATTTCCTGTAGAATGGAAATTCCATGAGGACAGTGACCTTTCTGTCCCATTCATGGTTGTATCGCCAATACACAGCACAGGGGCTCAATAATTATTCTTTGCATATTGACTAACTGACTACCAGTGATAAAAGGCTGGATTAAACCTGGCTTCTTGTATCTGAAGAGATTTAAGGGTTCCAAATATATTGAATCACCTGGCACCTAAAAATGCTAGTGTCAGCTGAGCCTGGTGGTGAATGCCTATAATCTCTGCACTATGGAGGCTGAGGCAGGAGGACTGAAAGTTCTAGCCAAGCCTGAGCAATTTAGGGACTTAGTGAGACCTTGTCTCAAAATAAAACATCAAAAGGGCTGGGGCTGTCACTCAGTGTGAAGGTTTGATCTCCAGTACTGAAAAAAAAAAAAAAAAAAGCTAGTGTTTCAAAAATATTGTATGATCCCACTTACATGGAGTTCTCAGAGTAGTAAAATTGACTCACGCAGAAACTACAATGGTGTGGGGCTGAGGGTGTAGTTCAGAGATACAGCATTTGTCCAGTGTGAGCAAGGCCCTGGGTTTGCCCTGCAGTATGCAACACAATAACAACAATAGGACAATGGTTGCCAGGGCTAGGGTGAAGGACAGAATGAGAACTGGTGTTTATGGGGTGTCTTGGACTGGTTTGTGCTGCTGTAACGGAATATCTTTTTATTTATTTATTTTTGTCTTCTTTTTGAGACAGTGTCTCATTATGCAGTTCAGGTTGGCTTTGAGCTCACTTTGTAGCCCAAGCTGGCCTCGAACTCACAACAATCCTTCTGCCTCAGCCTCCTGGGTGCTGGGATTACATGCATGAGCCACCACGCCAGGCTTGTAATGGAATATCTGATGAGATATATAAAGAAAAGAGATTTATTGCTTACCGTTCCAGAGGCTGGGAAATATGAGGTCAAAGAGTCCCACCTCTGCTAAGGGTTTCTTGTGCATCATTACATGGCAGAGAGCAAGAAAGCACCTGCGTGAGAAAGAATGCAGAAGAGGCCCAGACTGCTTTTATACAAACCAGCTCCCAAGGTGACGAACCCAGTCCTGAGGGAGCCACATGCATCCAGGCACAAGAACAGAGCCTGCAGGCCCTGATCACTGCCCCCTCCAGCCCTGGTACTGAGGAGGGAACCCTGGACCATCACACTGAGCTACATCCCCAGCATCTCCCCTCTGTTTTACTCTTTATTTTTTGAGATAAAGTCTTGGTAAGTTGTTAAATTCCCCGGACTGGGTTCAAACTTGTGATTCTCCTGCCTCAGCCTCCCAGAGTCCTGGGATTACAGATGGGCACCACCATGCCTGGCCTGATTACCCTTGAAGGTCCCAACCCTCAACGCGGTTGCATTCATGAGACAGGAGATTAGGAGGAGGCAAAAGTGGCTGGGGCGGTAGGCGTGACCTGTTTATTACAAGATCCCAGACACAAGAGCAGAACAGTTCCCAAGGCTGTGCATGTGGACTTTTCTGCGAGAACCTGAGCAGGTTTCCAACAGGTTGCCCTACCTGGCCTCAGCTTGAGACATGGGATCCCAGCACTACCTCTCAGAACCTGTATGTAGAAGTTCTCACAAATTTCCTCGAGATTTGGACAATGTAGATGACACACCTACGCCATGAAGAGCTTGCTAGCATGACTTTCCACCTTAGCCCACGCTGCACTTCCCAGACGCAGCGTACACTTTTATTTTTGCTGTTACCCTCTTTTTCTCTTTATTCAGCCCAAGCTCGCTCTGCAGAGCCAGTTTCTCCCTCACTCTTCACTTTTACTTTCTCGAATAAACTTGGCCACTGCTTTTTTGCTCGTTTTGTTCAAGATGAGAAGAGCCTGGACTCTAACTCCAGAGGGAGAGGCAAGCAACCCAGAACTCGGTAAGTTTAGCTGGTGAGCCGGCTTTCAGAAGCTGGCTACCTGGGAGGCATTAAGTTCCAGCACATGAGCTTTGAGGGACACACTCAAACCGTAACACTGGATATAGAGCTTCAATTTTAGAAGAGGGAAAGCACGCTGGAGATGGATGTTAGTGATGGGTGCAGAGCGTCATG